GCGTCTTGGGGGCCTCTTGGGGGCCTCTTGGGGCCTTTTTGGGGCCTCCTGGGCGCCTTCTGGGGCGGAGGGCTCGATTTTTCAGTTCTCGGTTCCCCTCTTGAGCCCCTCTTGGGCCCGTCTTGGGGCCTCTTGGTCCGTCTTGGGCGGCACTTGGGCCGTCTTGGGGGCCCTCCTGGGCCGTTCCGGGGCCGTCTTGGGAGCCTCGTGGGCCGTCTTGGAGCGGTCTTGGGGGCCTCTTGGGCCGTCTTGGAGCGTCCGGAAGCCGAAAAAGCCAGAAAGAACGCAAAAAAATCGAAAAAAAACAATGAAAATCAACGATTTTGGCCTCTTGGGGCCCTCTTCGGAGGCCTCTTGGAAGGCCCTTGGGGCGTCTTGGAGGCCTCTTGGGCTGTCTTGGGGCCCTGTTGGGCGTCTTCGGGCGATCTTTGGCCGTCTCGGGGCCCTCTTGGACCGTCTTGGAGGCTTCTTGGGGGCCTCTTGGCCCGTCCTGGGGCCCTGTAACAGGGCTCCGGCATCTCTGGCCCGACCTTGCCGGGACCTTGCCGGGGTATTTTTCGTCCGGGGACCCCCAGGGGCCGCCCCGCGCGCGCGAACTAGAAAGACTGTTAACCAGGTACAGGAGATCTTAGCACGCCCTGGCCCGTTGGGCCGGCGAATTATTGTGCTCATTTGCTTGCGTCGCATGTGCATTTGTATCACTTCGTGCTTTATCGTCCGTTGGTCCACATTGCTGTGCTTTGCCTTGACCTGTACTGGATTGCGCTGCCTATCGCATGGTTTCTTCACTTCTGCTTGCCTTGACTTGTTTTCCATCGCCCATACATCAGATTTCAGTGGAAATGCGTTGTCCATTGCATTGTGGTTACATTCGTTGCGTTGTGTTCAAAATTGTGTTCGCTGCTTTTCATCGTGTCGCACGGGAGTATGCGGAAGCGTTGTTGCTGGTGTTTCCTCTTTATTGGATCCGCGTTGTTCGTTTCTGGACCACTCCTTCATAGGAGCCGTGAGTTTGTCAAGAGTTGGGGCAGGCTACGAAGCCATGCGCGCGCGAAGCGCGCAAGGTATTATTATATAGTCTATGATGCTCTAGTGCATATGGGTGTGTGTATATATATATATGTTTATCTGTATGTCTGTGTACATTTGTGTGTATATCTGTACACATACATATTGACAGAGCGTGCGCGACACAGCACGGTAAGGTAACGCACCATTGCTGTACCATGCAAGGCAAGGCAGGCCAACGCGTAGTTTTTGCCGTCAGGTAGGAGGGCGAGGAAGGGGGGGAGCTTGAAGGGGGAGGGGCGGGGGCGCCCGAGGGTATAGGTGCCGCGGACGTTCCTTCACGACCTTTCGATTGTTGGACCATTTTCTACACGGCATGCAGACGCAAAGACCTGCTCAAACATTCAATCCCATGTTGAGCTCGATGTGTCCAGGGCCGTAATTACTGCGGGCACGAAGCATCACTAACAGACAGAAGGAGGCATAGAAAGACACACGAATACATACACACACACTTTTTGCGTCGCGGCCTCGCGTGCAGCGACGAGGCGAATAAGTCCAGCAGGGAGAGCGTAGAGAGTGCGCGCGGCCAGCCTCTCAGAAGATGAGGCAGGGATCCAAACATGGATCAACCGTGCCATCCGCTTGCCTGGGCCTGGGCAGCGGGAGTAGACGTCGAATCCTCATAGCCCTACCGAACACCGACGCGAGAAGGCAGCAAACGTGGAACGCACTGAGACACACACACACACACACACATGGGCTTGTCTTAAATATGCCTTGGGCGTTTTTGAAATTTTTCATTCGGCGTGTGGGAAATCATTTCTTCAGCGTGGTTGGACCCCAACACGACCATTACAAACGTTATAACAAACGATTCAGTTGTTTCGCGTTTGAGTTCCCTTTAATTAGCGTTCTCAGATCAGTGGGTTGCGTTGTCCGGCAGTGTCGTCTACCACGTAGTCACGTCCCATTGTCCTTGCGTCCAGTTTTCTTTAAACTCTTACCGGTAGGACCACCCTACGGGTGATAAGGAGGTTTTTTGGGGGAAGGGAGAGGCGGTCGATATGCGGGATCTCGGGGTTACTTCGTGGTTGCTTAAACTTTTTACTGTCGCGCACACCTGCCCATCTATATATCGACCCATCTATCTAGTTATCAAGCTTGGACAACCATCTATCGTTATCTATCAACCTATCAATATATGAGATGACCGGTCGACTAATCAATCAATCAAGTACTCAATATATGTGTGTCTATGTATATCCATATCTACATATATATATATGTGTATCGATGTTTGTCTTCACATATGTATACACACATATGTATAGTCTACCTTATAAATACAACTACATGTATATAGCTATGCATATGCCTATCTCTATATATATATATACAAATGTCCACCTCTATCCTCTATATCTCTCTATCTCTACCTTTTTATTTCTCAACCATCGGGGTAACCATCAGGGCAATCATCAGGGCAACCATCGGAACAACCGTCGGGATAACCATCGGGATAACCATCGGGACAACCATCGGGACAACGTCTAACAACATCTATCTATCTATCAGCTGTGTATTGATCTATCTATCTATCGACCATTGGGGCAACCATCGGGACAACCATCGGGACAACCATCGGGACAACCGACCATCGGGACAACCATCGGGACAACCACAACCATCGGGACAACCGCCGGGACGACCGCTGGGTCAGCCGGGGGCCACGCTCGGCGCTCGGGGGGCGGCCCTTTTGGCAATAGATGGCCTCTACTATGGATAGAACTCGCGCAGCTTCGCCTCGCCCGCACGCACGACACCAACCGAAACCGAAACCGATTTCCCGGATGGGGTCACTTCCATTGCAACCCCCCAGCTTCCGATCATAACAATGTTGCTCTTCTTTGGCCGTCGCTGCATGCTGGTCGCCAGGCCTCCGGGCTTGTTTCCCGCCGGTGTAAGACTGGTGTTAGGGCCTTTTGTTTGGCGTTGTTAGCTCTGCGCGCGGAGCGGGAGGAACGGGGGGCGGCAGGAACGGAAGAGCCGGAGCGAAGACGACAGTGAACACAAGGAGCAGCCTTTGAGATGAAAACAAAAAGCCCTAAACAAACGAGGATCCACAGGGACGGGCCTGAACACGCTAGAAATAATTAGCCTGGCGAAGGACCTAACCATATGCAGTTGTTAGCACCGTCGTTGTATGCACCGCATTCGGAGGAGCTCCCTACAGGGCCACGAAACGTGTGAGGGGTGTGCGAAAATTTGTCCGGTGGGCGCATGCGAAAGCAGCCACTGGGGCCGTCGGACAAAAATCTTATGCGGCCACTGGAAACGTGTGAGGGGTGTGCCGAAATAAGTGGTTGAGCGCGTGCGGACGCAGCCATTGGAGCCGTCGGTGGAGCTCTCTATGGAGCCACGAAACGTGTGAGGGGTGTGCCGAAATGGGTGTGCGTGGCGCATGCGAAAGCAGCCACTGGAAACGTGTGAGGGGTGTGCCGACATGGGTGTGCGTGACGCATTGGGGCGGTGGCACTGGGGCCTTCGGTGGAGCTCCCTATGGGGCACCGAAACGTGTGAGGGGTGTGCCGAAACGGGTGTGCGTGGCGCATGCGGGCGGTATCACTGGGGCTTTCGGTGGAGCTACCTGTGGGGCCACGAACCGTGTGAGGGGTGTGTGCCGAAATGGGTGTGCGTGGCGCGTGCGGGCGGTGGCACTGGGGTCTTCGGTGGAGCTCCCTGTGGGGCACCGAAACGTGTGAGGGGTGTGCCGAAATGGGTATGCGTGACGCATGCGGGCGGTGGCACTTGGGCCTTCGGTGGAGCTCCCTATTGGGCCACGAAACGTGTGAGGGGTGTGCCGAAATGTGTGTGCGTGACGCATGCGGGCGGTGGCACTGGGGCCTTCGGTGGACCTCCCTATGGGGCCACGAAGCGTGTGAGGGGTGTGCCGAAATGGGTGTGCGTGACGCATGCGGGCGGTGGCCTTGGGGCTTTTTGTGGAGCTCCCTATGGGGCCACGAAACGTGAGGGGTGCGCCGAAGTGGGTGTGCGTGGCGCATGCGGGCGGTGGCACTGTGGCGTTAGGTGGAGCTCCCTATCGGGCCACTAAGCGTGTGAGGGGTGTGCTGAAATCGGTGTCTGTGTGAGTGTGTGTGTGTGTGTGTGACGCATGCGGGCTGTGGCGCTGGGGCCTTCGGTGGAGCTCCCTTTGGGGCTTCTGGGGCCCTTCTGGGATTGAAAAGGAATGATCCCGAGAAACATGCAACAACCGTTTTGAAATCATTGTTTTTGGCCTTCTGAGGCCCTCTCGGGGGCCCTCTTGAGGGCCTCTGGAGCGTCTCGAGACTCTCTTGGACCGTCTGGAAGCCATCTGAAGCTCTTTTGGAGCCGTCTTGGGGCCCTCTGACGCAGTTTTTGGGCCCTCTTGGGCCGTCTTGGGGCCCTCTGGCCGGTTCACTTGGAAGGAATGCAAAGAACCGGGCCATGGGAGCCGCCCGGGAGCCGCTTCACTCGAAAACATATTAGGGAAACAGGTCATTAGATTTTGGGTCGCCCTCTGCCTAACCCCTCCCTTATAGTTTCTCCCGACTAACGGATCGCGACGCGACGCGCGCTTTCCGTCATCTGGGACGCCCCTTGCCTACCCCCCCCTGTCATTTCTCCCGACTAACGGGTCGCGACGCTACGCGCGTTTTCTGTCATTTGGGACGCCCCGTGCTTACCCGCCCGCCCCCTGGGCCGTGGAAGTTTGATAAGAAAATGTACGAGGGAAACGGCCACCTGAACGGCCATTAGACGTATGCGTTCCCCCCTCGCCCCCCCCCCTGCAACCCCTCCCTAATTAGAGGGCTTCGCCTCAACTCAACGTACATCACTCGTACCTCGCTCTTTCCGCCAACCGCAAGCGAAGGACGAGTCGACCGCGGGGGTTGCTGGGTGACCTGCCCAAATTTCTAGTCCTTTAGTCGTTTCAGATCCCTGCGAAGGTGCAAGGCTTCACAGGCCACGCGCGCGGGTTGGAGGAGAGAACGGGGAAGGCTGCACGTTCTTCGCCGTTTCAGGATTACCTGCCCCGAGCTGCGCCCAAGCTGGGTGTTTTTGCAGGCAGGCTGAAGAGTGGCATACGCCTGCGCCCGCGTAAGAATTGACAACGCGGATTCCCACCCCGCACGACTTGTATGAGCCCATGTCACGCACGAGGCAGGAGTGGCGGCAGGAAGAAAGAGGTGTCTCTCACCATGTCCGTAAGGGCTTCGCCCCCTGCCGCCGGCCCCCTCTCTCGGAGAATGGGCCATGGAAGAGCGAAGTCATGAGGCTTTGGCTTCGCCGTGAAGCAGTGTCGGGACCTGTTTGTTTTTCGACCCTGACCTTACGGATCTGCGTGAGGGGTGCCGCCGGATTTCAGAAATTTGGCAGGTCCCTTATGTTTTTGTACCCTGACCCTAAGGATCTGCGTGAGGGGTGCCGCCGAATTTCAGAAATATGGCAAATCCCTTATGTTTTTGCACCCTGACCCTGCCGATCTGCGTGAGGGGTGCCGCCGAATTTCAGAAATGTGACAATCTCATGTGTTGTTGGACCCTGACCCTGCCGATCTGCGTGAGGGGTGCCACCGGATTTCAGAAATGTGGCAAATCCCCTGTGCGTTTGTACCCTGACCTCGCCGATCTGCATGAGGGGTGCCACAGAATTTCAGAAACTTTGCAAATCCCATTTGTTTTTGCACCCTGACCCCGCCGATCTGCGTGAGGGGTGCCACCGAATTTGAGAAATGTGGCAAATCCCTCATGTTTTTGCACCCTGACCCCGCCGATCTGCGTGAGGGGTGCCACCGAGTTTCAGAAATGTGGCAAATCCCATTTGTTTTTGCACCCTGACCCCGCCGATCTGCGTGAGGGGTGCCACCGAATTTGAGAAATGTGGCAAATCCCTTATGTTTTTGCACCCTGACCCCGCCGATCTGCGTGAGGGGTGCCACCGAGATTCAGAAATGTGGCAAATCCCATATGTTCTCCCCCAACAATCCTGTGATGTTGGGTCTTCGTTTTGAAGAGACGGTCCCCGCGTTCCTCCTCCTCTCCTCCTCCTCCTCCTCCTCCTCCTCCTCCTGTTCCTCCTCCTCCCACCGTAGCCATTTTGGCTCAAGATGTTTTGGTCCCTCGGGCTGGAAACGGATACGTCAAGTCCGAGGCTAGTTCTCGATTCAGGCAACCCCAGTCGAGCTGCGCGCTGCTGGGGCCAAGAGATTATTCTCTCGAGTGGAAAGCTCGAGACCACCCTCGCTCACCGCTGCATGAGTCTGCAATGGCGCATGATGAGCAAGGGCCCGTTACATATGCAGGACTGCAATCGATGCTGGCGCAGATGCAGACCAACCTGTCCACGCTGTTCACGACACAGATATCCTCAGTTCAGCAGGATGTCTCGGCCATCGGCACCACTGTTCAGCAGCAAGAAGCAACATTGGCCTTACTGAAGCAGCAACTGGACAGACATAGCCAGCAGATCACAGCGGCGGAGGAGAATATTGCAGACACCAACAGCGAGCTCAAGAAGATCCAGACTTCGAGTGCAAGCAGTACAGCTACCTCCTCAGCTGACAGCTCTTTTGGGCAACGATCGCATGGCAATAAGCGTTTTCGAGCTGAGGGGAACACGGGTGAGAGACGTCCAGATGCTGAACGTCGCCGCTGGGTTGGGACCTGGGAAAGAGCGTGTTCTACCGCTGCTGGCGGAAAACCGGGGGGGTCACTACCGGTTCGAACCCCTTCCCCCCCCCCCCCTCCGGAAAACCGGGGGGGGGTCACTGCCGGTTCGAACCCTTCCCCCCCCCCAGTTCATCGTGAAAAAGGGGGGGGTCACTGCCGGTTCGAACCCCCCCCCCCTCGAAAACCGGGGGGGGGGCACTGCCGGTTCGACCCCCCCCCCCCTTCGAAAACCGAGTGGGGGCGCGGACAGTGGTGGGGGCGGTGTTGGCGGGGACAGTGGCGAGGGGACAGCGGGACAGTGGTGGGGGCAGTGGGACAGTGGGACAGTGGTGGGGACGGTAGTGGTGGGGACAGTGGTGGGGACAATGGTGGGGACGGGGGGGGCAGTGGGCAGTGGTGGGGGCGGTGGTGGCGGGGGCAGTGGTGTGGGGACAGTGGGAACGAGGTGGAAACAGTGGGACAGTGGAGGGTACAATGGTGGTGGGGACAGTGGTGAAGGCGGTGGCGAGGACGGCGGTGGGACAATGGGACAGAGGTACAGTGGGGACAGTGGTGGCGGCAGCGGGGACAGTGGTGGGAACAGTGGGACAGCTCAGTGGGACAGCGGAGGAGTCAGTGGGACAGTGGGGACAGTGGGGATAGTCGGGCAGTGGTTGGATCCGCGGAGACAGTGGGGTGAGTGGAACCGTGGTGGGAACAGTGGTGGGAACAGTGGGGACAGTGCGACAGTGGTGGGGGCACTGGTGGGGACATGAGGGACGGTGGTGGAACCAGCGAGGACAGCGGTGGTGAGGACGGTGGCGCTGGGAACAACAGTGGGGAATGTGATGCGGACGGTGGTAGGGGCCGGGAGTCGTTTGCTGGTGGTGCGCGGGGCGAGGGGGGTCGAACCGGTAGTGGCCCTCCTCCGGTTTTCGAGGGGGGGGTTCGAACCGGCAGTGGCCCCCCCCCATCGGTTTTCCAAGTCCGGAGGGGGGGGGGGGTTCGAACCGGTAGTGGCCCTCCTTCGGTTTTCGAGGGAGGGGGGGGGGGGGGGGGGGGTAGGGGACGGGGTTCTGCCCGGGGTGGGGGGGGTGGGCTCGGGGGGGGGGAGGGGGGGTTCCAGCGGGGGGGGGGGGGATTTTCGGAGGGGGGAGGGGGGCGACCCCCGGGTTCCGGAGGAAAAGGCTGGCAATTTTCCACAGTAAAGCGGCGGTGGATCACGCTCTCTCGGACCTGGCCACGCTCCGTATTCAAGAAGGTGAGAGTCGCATACTACGAGTGGCTGAAGGGTGCATTCCCAGGACATTTGGGAGAACAAGTCGAAGCTGACTTTCATGGAGTTTCGCAAACGTTCAGCCTGCTCTTCTCCTGCGCGGCAGACGCCCGCGCATTCCAGCTGGCCGCCAAAAACGCCGGCCTCAAATGGGTGGATCCGAGGAGCCGCGAGGTGCATGAGAGTGCGCGGAGACCTCCCCATGGACGTCAAAGACAAGAATCGCGCCTTCAGCACCATCTATAATCCGCTGGGGAACCTCTTCAAAGAAAGCTCCAAGTGGACACCCACATGTAAGCTGAGAGTCAACGGCTACAAGAACCACTTGCTCATCACCGACGGCGACGACTTATGGGAGCTGATCAAGCTGAAGGTCACGCATCGTCCGCAGGGCAAGGACGCGTTCACGTTCGAGAACCAAGAGGAGACCTGCAAGGATTGGAACATATCAGACAAGGACGCGCAGGCCATACTCGTCGACGAGGCGCAGGAGGAGATGAGGGAGCGCGACTACATCTAGGAAACACCGTCAAGGGCACAAAGCTCGAGGGTCACTGCGGGGGATGCAGTGAGTACTGAGCCTTTTAGTGAGCAGCACCAGTCACCCGACCTCCCCTCCTCGCCTCCGATGCCCCCCCCCCCCCCCCCCCCCCCCTGCACCAGTAAAACAATTCGCCTTCCAGAAGAGCACTAGTCTCTGCTCTTGGAATGCGCGGGCGCCTTATATATATATATATATATATATATATATATATATATATATATATATATCCGCTCCATGCGGAGCAGGCACGTGGCAAATATTCTGCCCTCTCTCGTCTCCTCCAGAAGCACGCCGTGGTGGGCATCCAAGAAACCCGTGGGCACCAATGGGGGCCTCAATATCTTATCCAGAGATCATCAGGACTTCGTCTTCTGGGGATCGTTCCTGGGCCAGTCTGCGGGCGGTGTCATCACTGGTCGAAGAGATCGCTGTTGTCTGAGTTTGGGGACCAGACATTTGACGACCCCATCGTTGGCAGCATTTCCTTGCTCACGCTGCGAGACCAGCGCGGCGCAGTGCAGATTGAACGTGCATATCGATCCTGGGTGGACTGAGCACGCAGTCTGACGGGCGTTCCTCCAGATTAAGCAGCGCCTCCTCCCCCATTCCACTGTCATCAGCATGGGCGACTTTATCTCCCACATCTCAGGTGAAGGTCGCTTCTCCGTCGAAACGGGGGAGGAGCGACCTAGGCTCGCCAGGCTGTCCCAGATATCTGATCAAATTGTTCATGCATTCTGTGAAGTTGAAAAAGTTGACCATGCACATCGGAGAATTCGAATGGGCATGCTAGTTACGGACGATTTGATAGAATATACATCAATTTGCCTACTGCCGAGCTACTAGGTTACGAACCCCACAGTACTGCGGAATGGAGAATTCCGGACCTCCGGAGGCCCTCAGATCACGCTTCCGTGCATCTTAGCCTGCATATATGGTTTGGCATCACCCCCAACAACATCCCTTCCTGGATTACTTCCCACCCGATGTTCAAACATTACCTCAGTGAGCTCATCGAGAGTAACCCCGTAGACCCGTCCCCGCCTGATCGCATCGAGGAGATCAAAGCATGCATGAGCTTTGCCGCTTCCCAGGTCAAGCTATATGTACAGCAAAGAGGAGCTACTCGTGTAGAAGCAACATATTCTGCTGCCTCCAGCTGCTGCGAGCCGATCGCAGCGGCAATGCCCGACAGATGCGCAGAGCAGTGCATGGCCATGATTATCTCGCCAAATTTTATCACGTGCACGCTGGGCTCTGGACCGACTGGCGTGGCTCTCATGCTCACCTCCGCTCGCTCCAACAAGGTCACCTCCATAAGATTGAACAACAGACCATCGCCGACCCCGGCTTCTCCTCTAAGAAAGAAGCCGCGCTGGTCCGTGTAAGAAGAATGAAAGTCGCTTGGGCCAAATCGCGCCCTGTCCTTTGCCTGGTGGATGTAAGAGACCCCGAGGGCAATGCCCGCCCAGACCCCGAGGAAAGTAATGCCCTCCTGGGCGAGTTTTGGGGGGGGGCTGTTTGATGAAATGATGGGGCCACCCATCGACGCGAACAGTCACTTCCTCAGCTTTGTTTCCCCGCTCGCCGACAGCCGCGGCCAGTTTGTCGCCAATGACCACCAGCGCCACGATTGGATAATCGACTTTGAAGGCTTCAAGAGGTGCTTGCACGGCAAGCGCGACGCGGCTGTGGGCCCAGACGGCATCC